ATCTATGTACATACTTTGAGTGATGATACGAGCGGTTTCTTATTTTTTCTTTTCTTAACTTTTGTTTGTATTTGTTGATAGTTGCATCTCCGAAGATATTATCCAAAATTATATATTTATGGTATTTCTGTTATTTTTATAAACTGTATTTTTATTTCATATCGTTTCGGGTTTGTTAGGGACAATGCGCCCAATTTTTTCTTTTCTTTAATATATAAATTTTTTAGGAACACCATACCGTAGACCGGAAGTACAATTTTCAAATCTCTTCTTCCGCTTATATAGAGCTTTTCCTCTCTAAAACGTCATTTATTATTTCCCAATGTGTACAGTAAGATATTTCGTATATTTTTACTGGCTATTAATTTATGTATTCACTATTATCTATTTGTACTATAAAACTTATAATAAATGCTTTGAGATAACTACTAGTTGAGCTAAATATATGTTTGTATGCATAAACATACGAACATTATATATACGTATGTATAAAGAATTCTGACTCTATATGCTTTTATGCTAGTACTTATGTACAAACACAATCATTCGTATTCATGTGTTTTGTTTTTTATATGAAATTCGGTATTTCAATCCGTGGCTCGTGGCTTTTCACGGTCTGCAAGCCAACCGAGACAGCTTTTCCGCCGTTTCTTTTTTTTTATTAGTGTTATTGTTGTTGCACGACTGCTAACTTTAGGTACCTCTTGTTGTTGTTATACATGACGTACTTATATTACTAACAATATTTTTTGTTTTTGATACCCTTTTCCTTGATAGAGTACTATACATTTGGGCCGCTTTTAGGCTCTGTCGAGAATCCTGTTAAAGCTGTTATATACTTCTTGAGCATAATTGTAATGTAAGACTTGATGAATTTATAAATAAGTAAATGAAAACAAATTCTCAGGCGGAAATTTTGAGATTGTATTTAATAAAGATATCTTTTTGTAGCGAGTTGTACTAAAATTATTTCCATTTACTTCAGAGAAAAAATTTCGAATACTTCATGCGAAATGAATTTTTTAAAGTTAATGAATCGATAAAACATTAATTTGGTAAAAACAAGGAATATATTTTTTTATATATTTATATTTAGGTTTTTTTGTTTATTCATCCATATTGTGAATTAGAAAATTCAAAAGTCGTCAAAATAACCTCAAGTTTCCAAAATTAAAAATCAAAAACAACAGACAATTTTATATATACGCAATCCTTTAAAATTGTTGAATATATTTTTCATTCAGTCGTCAAGGGAATGCCCAGAATATTTTAATGCTGCGATTATGTGGCTGCCAAAAGCTGGTTAAAGCAATTTAAAGAACATTTTTAGAATAACCCGTGCTAACTAACTAGTCAACTTCAGTTGTCATATAAAAATATCAGTTGATTGTTGGCGGAAAGTTCGAATAGAACGATAGGTTCCAAGCCGATTATTTATACGATAGCATATTGTCAGCATAAATTCATTTTTGCTATTGTAAAAGGTCGCTTGGAGACGGGTGAAAAAAAAATACTAGAAAGTTGATTGGCGTTGCCAGATGGCGCAAGGGCGAGAGGGTTGTGAAAAAGAATAATGATTTAAATAATGCAAACACCCTATTCTGTATCGCGCTCCTTAGTGTAACCATTTTGGCACAATAATATCGATAATACAGGCATGACACTAGCGCATTAATTAGAGACTTCATTAAAGATTTGACAGCGCTATAGCGTTTTACACAAGTGCGAGCAAGACGACTATATGGCGCTCTAATGCATTAGCTACTTCATTGCCGCGATAATCGATAGATCTACATAAAATATACCAGATACTCGATAACAAAATACGGGTTTAATGAAGAAAATTGTAATTAAAAAATGTATTAGCCAGCTCATTGACAGTATGGTCTCACAATGAGAAGTTTATTTTTATATCATTTCGCTGGTTTTTGAACTCAAAATATATTAGAAAATTAGCAAAAATAATATGTTTTGCGGTGGCAAGGTTCTTGCGCTGTAAAATTAATTAAATTTTTTTTTTGGTAATAATTAAAAAAAATTTTAAGCATTATAGGTTAAAAACATAAATTTAAAGGATTCTGCATTTATTTATGCAAGAATACTTCGAAGAGGAATTCTGAAATTCATAGTAATAAAAAAATGGCGGCCGTTTTTTTTGTTTACCTTTTACGATCGGTGTGACCCTATCCAGCAAGCATTTTATGAAAATTCTGATCGAATTCGAGTCATTTTCGACTCCTCTTGCTGATTAAAATGAGCATATATGCGCTCTTTTTCTGATCATAAATGACGCTGCCTTCGGGAGAAAATGGACCCCTAGCCGCGACTCTTCTGGAAGAGTCGTTTCGGACTCCTCTTTCTGCTAAGAGGGGACTCTTTTTCGAGTCAGATTTGAATCGAAATTTGAACGTTTGCAATTCATATTTGTAGCAATAAGCGAATCATTTTTGAGTCCCATTTATAGTAATTAGGGACTCATTTTCGAGTCATATAAGAATCGAAAATAAATTAAATATTCCATAATATTTTGTTGCTTTATTTTTAATTGGTATATATATTTAAATATGAAATAACAATAACTCAAATTTAACAAATACTATTATTAATAATTAAAGTATTCCACGCGCTTTCATCTTGTTGCACGATCTTTGGCACACATTAACTATTCTCACTAAGCTTCACCAACTTACTAAAACTGAGTTTAAAACTGCAGAACAGAAGAGCAAACGATACAAATTTCGTGAAAAGTACCGTTAGGCTCTCCAAGTCCTCTGACCGAATGTTAATGCAAAGCAATAAATAATCTCATTGCAATCATCTGGATGATCAATTTTCGATTGTTTTACAATTTTGCTTTGCTATTTTATAAATCGTATTTAAAGGTCACTTACGACTCTTTTTGGAGTCATTTTCGAGTCATTTATTAGTCGCGCGTAAGACAAATCTTTTTTTAATCATTTCAATGACTCGAAAATGACTCCCCAAGATGATTGCGATCTTCCGAGTGCTTGCTGGGTAGTCGTATTACCAAAATAATCCAAGCAAAATGACACATATAGTGGACTCTTTCAAGGTTCTAATGAAGTAGCTAATTAATGAAAACTGCATTAGAGTATCATATGGCCATAAGCAACTATTGTATATGAATAGCAATGGATATAATCTAGGTAATAAGACCAAGAAGAGACGGTCTCTTAATTTTGGCGAAATGGAGAACGTTTTGCGACCGCCTGAATAAAGACAAATTAAATTATAAGCCATCTGACGTGATAACTGACTGGTTTTACATAAAAAATAGTGACTACATTTTTCTGCTCCCACAGTCAATGTACAAGTTTTTAACGATTATTTTTTTATTGAATTTTTGAAATCAATGGCGCTGCCAGATGTGTTTATTCAGTTATTGGGCAACTCTACGACGCTTTCATTACCCAAAAAAGCTTTTTTTTAAGCTTTCGGTGTTATTTTACTATTTCTGCTTAAAAGTATGCAATGTCATCTTTAGCAGAAATCATACAAAAAAACATTACATCCTTCATCCTACCAAGTAAAAAATAAACAAAAATTTAAAACATGTGAAATATGATATTTTTGAAAGTGTTGATATAATCAAATATATTCAAGGACGACGACTGCAGTTAATTTATCTCATTTTCCTTCCGGTAAACAAACGGCAAGCATAATTTTTTACTTATAAACGAATAATGTTAAAAGATGCACGTAATTGTTTATATCTGCTATGCAATTTTACATTTATTTAATAATTATATTTATTGCCTTTGCTTTATCCGCCGAAGTTAATGGTCAATTATCTTGGCGTCGTCTTGTCTGGTTTCGAAAGTCGTTTACGTAGATTTGTACATACATACATGTGTGTATGCAGAAGGGGCGCCTCTTGTCTGCCGGTCGTCGACGTAGTGACGATGAGCTCCGAGAGTGTGCGCATGGCAACTACTATACCTACATCGGTAAACCGTTTTTGTTTATCTATTTGTTTTGTATTCTTTGAAACTAAAATGAGCTCCTCATCTATAGTAAATAAAAGTCGTAGTAAAAGCGAAGCAAAGCGAATGCTTGAAACTCGTGAAACTTCCAAAATAGAACAACAAGAAACATGTAAAATAAGTAAAAGAAGTGAAACAAATAATGAAAATGTTGTTATTAGTTGACTTGGCGCGGAGCAAATACAAAACGAAGCATTCAACTATTCATTGTATTTTTTAAACATAAAAGGATTATTTAAAATAGTAAAATGAATTGAATTTTAATTTTCTTTTGTGTAGATGTTGGTTTACGAAAATTCCCGAAACTACAAAAATTCTCGCTTCTGTTAAATTTAAGATTAGTTAAGTCGAAAAATGTAAGGAAGAAAAATTATGAAATTATATAAAAGAATGGCAAATTAAAAAAAAAAAAAAAAATACAAAATACTATTATACTCTTTTAAGGCGACACTTCAGCGATCCTTTTCAAGGAGTCTCCAGCGACTCTTCCGAAAGTCTCTTGCGCGACTCTTCCACAAGACTCCTCTGGGACTCATTTATATGAGCCGCCCGTGACTCTAATAGAAGGGTCGCATTCGCTGATCAGAAAGCGATGTCGCGGGCGATCAAATTAATCTTCTGGAAGTGTCGCAGGCGACTCTTCCGCGATTGAAATGGTCACTGGGTGCGATCGTAAAAAGCGATATACATACCCTGCAGTACCACATTTCATCAACATCAAAGAAATGAAATGTTGATGAATGGTACTGCTGGGTATGAACATATATACATACATACATATGTACCAATCAAGGGGGTATACAACCCGCTATAGAGGGGTTAAAAATTCAGTAAAAAATGGACCACTTTGCAAAAAAATGTTGCGGTAAAACTGTGAATAGTATATGTGTGTATCAGTGATACCAAAATGTTTTCGAAAAAAAAGGACAGATTGAGAAAAAAAACAGGAAAAAAAGGATGAAAATATTTAAAAAAGGATAAAAAGTTTGTTTTTACTATTATTATTTTTTATTATTAAGATAATAGTTTTAAGGCATCTTCTATTATTTTCCCGTCATCATCATTGCTGTCCTCATATGTAGCCATGGAGCCAATTAATTGGAGGTACTTCTCAGGCAAGTTATAATTATGACAGCATAACTTATGGCGACGCAATCCGAATCTGAAGAAAGAATACATGTACATGAATTTATAAGTGGTAAATTTTTGAAAATATATATATATTTACCTGATTGCCAAAATGGCATTTAATGTATCCACCTCTAATCGGTTCCTAATTTTGGTTTTCACCAAATTTACTTGGCTATAAACTCTCTCTACTTCAGCATTTGACCATGGCAATGAAAGCAGGCTAAGAGCAAAATTCACCAGGTCCTCATCGGTGTTGTTGCCTGCTGCCTGCAGAATCCCGATACCTCTTCACTTCTGACCAAAATGTTGAAGTATTTTCAATATTTTCCCAATTTATTAGGTGAATATTGGAATATTGAGAAATTATTTTGCTTTTAATCTCAGAATTTATAGAAAATATGTTTAAAATAGGCAGAATTGAGTCCTTTTTGGATTTCAAAACACGATCTACCGAAAATGCGTCTATTTTTTTCTGTATTATGTCTGTATTATGTCGGCTAATCAAATCTTTAAAATCTGGATGCAGTAGACAGCGAAGCTTTTGATTGTACACTTCTTTTGGCATTTTTAATTAGTAATACAACTTTTAAACTTGCGTTTTCAGTACCGAAACAGAGAATGCAAGTAAACCGTAAATAGAGTTGTTTTTCGATGATTTTTTTTACCAAACTATCGATATAAGTATGGCAGCTGCCACCTGTTTCATATTTTGCAGCTAATAATACATTAAAATTGGAGAGCGAAAGCAACTATTTTAGAAAAAAAGAAAAAAAAGAGTTAATATTAGATTTACAAAAAAGGACAGATTTCCGGATGAAAAATCTAAAAAAAGGACAGATTTCAGGTATGGATGATTTTCAATTTTTTCCGGATGAAGCGTTAAAAACAGGACAGATCTGTCCGGAAAAAGGACAAATTGGCATCACTGGTGTGTATGTATGTATGTATGTTTAGGAAAATGTTATAAAAGTTGTGATTACTTGATTACTTCGTTTTTTATTTGTATGCTCCTGTTTCCACTATCATTTAATTCTACCATTTTCGTTTTTGAAATCGAAAATAGCTGCTACCGTTTTCACATTCATATGATTTTATCAGTTTCTTGTTTGTTATTTATTTATTATTTTTATACCCCTGCAGGGTATTATAATTTCAGTCAGAAGTTTGAAACGCAGTGAAGGAGACATTTCCGACCCTATAAAGTTTATATATTCTTGATCAGCATCAACAGCCGAGTCGATCTAGCCATGTCCGTCTGTCCATCCGTCCGTTTCTACGCAAACTAGTCCCTCAGTTTTTAAGCTATCTGAATGACACTTTGCATATACTCTCAATGTTATATATGTCGGAACGGGCCGGATCAGACGACTCTATCATATAGCTGTCATACAAATGTTCGATAAATATTCAGAAAAAAAAAATTATAACTTGGCTGTTTTTCAACATTTTTGAGGTTTGGCCATTTTATATTATTTCTGAATTTTGGTATACATTTTATGAAAATCAGACTGCTATACCATATAGCTGCCATAGAAGCGATCGGTAAATGTAGAGAAAATGTAAAGCTGGGAATGTAAAACTGTAACTCTCAAGTATAGGTAAAATGTAATAAAATTCAGTCTTGTGTGTGTTTTAATTTAAATTTATAATATTTAAGTTTATTATATAAATATCAAAGCCAAATTATTATATGCTATGTATAAATATAATAAAAAACTTTTATATGTATATTTTCTTTTATTTATTTCTATAAATTTAACCAGAATGGCTCGATTCTTAATGATCCAATTGCAAGCTGCAAGGGTATACACACTTCGGCGTGCCGAAGTTAGCTTCCTTTCTTTATTCCACAACCCAGATTTTGACTAAAAAAATAAAAAGATAATTCAATAAAAAATTAATAAAGGACGACGTCAGTACCTGTAAAATTAGTTGAAGAAGTTACTGAAGTGCCAAATTCACGATTGGTTCAGTTGTTTTTAAGTTATCGTGCTCACTGACTTTCAAAATTGCATTTCTCAGGAGAGCGCTTTAAAGTGTTTGATCAATTGATACAACAACATTTCATTATTGATAAAGTTGCTGATAAATTTAAATAAACTTCGGCTTGCCAAGGGTAATTGTCTTTCAAAAGGTATCGCAAAAATTTTATCTGTTCAATTATATACGTATTTGCGATTCATTAAAACTAAAATTAAATTTGAAAGAAAACTTAAGTCTTGATTTCCGTTTTTAACACAGGAAAGCAATGTTCGTCCCAAACTAAACGAATGGATTAAAATGTTACAAGACTTTCGATAATTCATCTCTGGTTTTTGTAGACGATAACTAACCAATTCAATAACAACAAAGATGCGGCTGGGTTTTGAGACACAATCGCAGCCGCCTGGAAAGGTATCAATAAGGAACAGCAACAACAAATGCTATTACAATTGTCAATGTCTGTGCTGTCGCCAAGGATGTTGCGTTGTTGTTCCCAATTGTTGTTGTTGCTACATAACCTGCTGCAGTGCCTCCAACTCTTGGAACACATCACAAGTCGCAACTAGAAAAAAAGATTCCGTTCCCTTAAACGATAGATTGGGCGTATCAAAGCTGATTCTACTCCTGGCGCGTTGGACAACGGCATTCGTGACTCTGCTAACAAGTTGTATATTGCTCGATATCAGTGCTTCTAATGGAAGCAATCGTGAAAGTAGTCAAGGAGTATCAGTAACTGCTACTTCTGTTCCTACAACGGTTATTGAAGCTTCTTCCGCAATTAGTGGCAATTCGAATACCGTCGCTCTAAAGAACTTTTATGATATTACCAATGATCAGCAATTAAGATCCAATTATTTATGCAAAATGTTCTCTCACGGTCGAAAAAGTAAGCGACAGCGTAGAAGGCGTCGCCGACGCCGTCGCAGGCGTCGTCGCCATAGACATATGGCTAAAAACAGGCACCGAAAACAAATACATTATAATAAAAATAATAATAAGCAGCACCTAATAAAAAGTAAGAGTGATGAGAGCAACTTTCAAAAAAGGCCAAGCCTTTGCCAATCCTTCGAGGCATTAAAAGTAAGTTATGGTGGAACTACGCCAAGGAATGTGCGGGTCTCGACATTAAAGGACTTGCTATCAATGCGTAACTGCTCAAAGATAAATAAACGCAACCGTGCTAATCTCATCTGGCTTTTGATCGGTCTTGTCTGGTTTGAAGTCAAGCTTATTAATTGCAATGGCATTAGCAGCACCAATTTCTACGCTTCCAATTTAGAGTCTCACAAAGGATGCACCTTATGTCATGAGACAGGAGGTGGCACCAAAAGCAGCATTTATAATGATAAAGGTAACTGCATATAATTACTATACCAAATTTATGTTAACATTTTCTCATAAAAACAGAAGGAATAAATAAGTATTTCGGTTTTTTAAATTTATTTAAATTAATTTTCATTTATTATTATATATTCTGTTATTCTTATTTCTTATAATAGTTGGCAAAACGGTGGGGCACAAGGGCATTACAAATTAGTGCCAATGGAAAATAAATGTCAGGCAGAAGAAGGCATCTCCGAGTACCCCATAAAGTGTATCTATTCACGATGAGCGTCAACAGTCAAGTCGAAATTCTCTCTAGTCCCTCCAGGTTCTCCTCGTTCCTCCTAGATCATGCACGGTCGATAATAATATCGATTGCACAGTTTCTAATCGATATTTACATTCGATAGTTTCTTAGTGTTATGTTTAGCCCCTTGCATATTATTTACACTATTTACAAATTTAACGTTTTCTTAGGTTTCTTTCTATTACTGGAATGGATAAGGGTAGACTCAGGTTTCGATGTTGATATAGAATATACATATGTATATTTCCTATATAACAACCCTTCTAACTAAAAATATAACAGCGAACATCAGCATGCTCTGCATCACTTTAGAGACTGTATTTTAATTTCAACATTATTGTTTAACAACTTTTTACTTAAACCACTGTTATAGCTCTGTTACGGGAGTCGGAGATGTCTCCTTCCGAGTTCGGTTGGTACTGAGCTTGTAACCTTGTACCCTATGTGAACCGGAAAAACACCCATAACACTTAATACACTTTTATCACAATTTACACCACAGATAATAATCCACATACAGACTACAATAACATCTACAACAACAAATACCAACATAATACCAACCATAATTACTTCAACAAAAAAACAAATAATCAACAACAAAACAAATATTACAACAAAATTCCAACGAGCGATCATATTCGTTTGGAATCAATCAAAAGGCAAATTTTGACAAAACTTGGTCTAACTCATAAGCCAAATGTCTCTCATCCCTTACCAAAGCAATTTATATGGGAAACCATTTATCGGGCAGATGGTGGAAGGATGATGATCAACAGTGATCATCAGCGAGAAAAACAGCATTCTCTTACCAGACGCAATACTCTAACAGAATTTCATAACTTCATTGATGCTTCAAGTGATCATGATCAATACCGATCACCTTTCGATTTTACTTGGAATATAACTAAAAGCAATGTCTATGAGAGGTTCCTAAAAAACCAATTTGGAAGAAACTACCATATGGAAAAAGACGATACAACAAAAAATAGATTATTTAAGAATTGGAAAGACTTACGTCAGTTGGCAGCAAGTTATCCTCAGTTTGGGTCTAAAGTCAGAAGTCGTTTAAATCCTGTTACTGTTACTGAAAATCAACGAAGATCACTTAGTAGTATTGGAAAATCTACATATCTGTTAGATTTAAATCGCAGTAGTGATAGTACCATTAAAATTGGTGTCAGAAGTAATCATGATCATGATTATTTTAGAGATTACCATGTTCAGGCCAAACTCCAAAATAGCATTGAAGATGAGAGAGAAAAAAATCAGAAACATCATTTTGAACCAAACCACGAAGAACACAATAAGATCGATAATCACGAAGATTACTTTGGTAATACTCAGGAAATAATAACATTTGCAGAGGAGGGTAAGTTAAGGTTTTAACTACGGAAATATTGTAACCTTATTTACTTTAATATCCCAAACAATTATTATTATGTTTCAGGGACTCAATATCGACAGTATCGAATACTTGAGTTTACACCTCAAAATCGCCGTGTTGTTCCTCCTAACCAAAAACTATCGATACGCAGTGCTCAGATACACATTCTGATCGATAAACCTAACAATTATTGGATCGACAAGGCGAAAACGACAAATTTTCAGAACGAAGAATATGTTTTAAATGCCAAGCGAAAATGGCGCAAACACAAAATCAAAATATGGATATTTGAGTTAACAGCTGGCATAAACATTACGGAGAAGGCAAGTACAGTACGGAAATAAACAAATAAATAGATAGAATAAATCTCTACAGCTGTCGAAACATTGATGCAATATATTTACATATTTAATTATAACACAGGTACACAGCCAAAAATTTCCACGAACCATTTCAAGTTTTCCATGATATTTGGGTGCTCCTGAGTAAAAGTCCCATACAAAATTATTTTCCATCACCTACAGGTTCCGCGGTATACCTAAGAATACAAAAAACCGATGTTTGCCGACATTTTGAATTACGTGGCCTATATAATTGGACTTACCTTTATTATTTTCGGTAGGACCTACTCTCAATACATCACGGCACTACTAAAAAATAGTCCCAATCGTGGACCATTGCCCATGTCTTTGGAATTCGACGCCAAAGTTGAAACTCCCAAAATTTTTAACTTTTCTGTAATGAAAAAACAATTCTGAGAATTAAATCTTATATGGAACTAATTTTAAATATTCATTGAATCTATTGTTCATTGTATTCTTTAATTTCGGTTTAAAGCGTTTTCATGAGGACATTTTATTGGATTTATTAAACGAATAAAACCGCTTTTTTGGTTTGATTATCTACTACTATTTTCTGTCAAAATTCAAATAAGTCAAGGCAACCTATAGAATGCGAGTAAAAAATCTAAATTTATATTATATATAAAAAGATACATATTAAATTTGGGAGTTTCAACTTTGGCGTCGAATTCCAAAGACATGGGCAATGGTCCACGATTGGGACTATTTTTTAGTAGTGCCGTGATGTATTGAGAGTAGGTCCTACCGAAAATAATAAAGGTAAGTCCAATTATATAGGCCACGTAATTCAAAATGTCGGCAAACATCGGTTTTTTGTATTCTTAGGTATACCGCGGAACCTGTAGGTGATGGAAAATAATTTTGTATGGGACTTTTACTCAGGAGCACCCAAATATCATGGAAAACTTGAAATGGTTCGTGGAAATTTCACAAAGTTTAATTTTGTGTTCCTGTGTAATTATATCAATTAAATATTATAATAATAATTTTCTATATACTATAACAATAGGACGACAAATTAATATTTAATTCATTGAAACAAAAAAGTGATACTTTTAAAGATATCGATTTTTTGACAGCTTTAATAAACTTTATCCTAAATATAAATAAATCTCATAATACAATTTTTTAGGGCATTGACAAGGCTATACTTTTCCGCGCTTCTTTTGAGGTTAATACAAAACATTTGGGATGGCAAAAATTCGATTTAACTGAAACGATCCGTGAATGGTACGGAGGCCATGGCGGCAACGAAAAGCTGAGACTCCTTATCGATTGCACTGGCTGTGGTGGTCGTTACTCTTTGCACCTATTTCAAACATCGAAAATAAGTGATAATTCGTCAGAAAACACGATAAACATAAATCCGAATCGACCATTTCTGGTTCTGCACACGGAATCGGCGAGAACGCGACGAGTCCGGCGACGTGCTGTAGATTGTGGCGGTGCCTTAAGTGGCCAGTGCTGCAAAGAGTCATTTTACGTATCCTTTAAGGCGCTCGGTTGGGATGATTGGATTATTGCTCCCAGAGGTTACTTTGCCAACTACTGTCGTGGTGAATGCACAGGAACGTTTCGAACCCCGGACACATTTCAAACGTTTCATGCTCACTTTATTGAGGAGTATCGAAAACTTGGTCTCCTTAATGGAATGCGACCCTGCTGCGCACCCATAAAGTTCTCCAGCATGTCCTTGATCTACTACGGTGATGATGGTATCATAAAAAGAGACTTGCCCAAAATGGTTGTTGACGAGTGCGGTTGCCCTTAGCGTAAGTATAATAAATAAGAAACAGAAATCGGTAAGGATTTTATGGTTTATGTTCTTAGTATTCAATTTACACCATAAAATACAAATAATTTTAAAAATGAGTGGTGAAAAAATATCGAATAAAAACCTTGATTGTTTTAGTACATAACGATATATTATGTGTAAATCGATATACCGAAATAGTGACAAATAAATTGTGAACAATATTTCGGGTATTTTTTATACGTAACGTAATAACGTATTTGAAATTATATGATATTTAACGCAATTTTCTAGTTACTAAACTGTATATTGGAGGATTACCAATACGACTGAATGGCTAAATAACTAAAAATATTAGCAGCTGAAAACAGCTTCCCATACAAATGGCTTAATCCATATTTCAAGTTTTCAGCAACCCCAAGATCGCTGAAAATATCGGGTCGTTCCCTATACGGCTTCATATATTGCCAATACAGGGCCGACACTTTCGGTAATTTAGTCATTCAGTCTAAAAAAGGGATCCCCTGAAAATAGGTGTGGCTGTTAAAAAATTGATTTTAATATCTTATTGAAAAAAGAGTTATCTTTAATATCGATTAATGTTAAAATATTGAAGAATGACATAAGTATTGGTTCCGAAGAACATGACTGATCACTGATTACTGATGTATTTCTGCTGAACGCGGATGATCACTGACGAAGATGCCAGATTTCAGTCATCATACTCAGCAAAAATGGGCCGTTAAACGATACAGATTGTTGCTGGCGTATATCGATTGCTAAAATATCGGATATCAAATCAAACGGAATCTTCTGTTATAGGGTCTTCCCACACACCGTCAAAGCACATTCACCGTCCGTTGAACAAACGGTCCATAAGGTTTTGCCGTTCCGAATTTTCCGAAATGGACCGCCATTAGAACACAAATCTTACCACGGTTTGTTTGGCGATAGTTAGGCGATAGTTTTTCGGTGTAACTCTGAAAATTTGACCATCACTACTAAAGTGTATACACACTTGGCAAGGAACAAATGAGATATGGAATTTAAAATGTGGCGCCAAGGCTACAACCATGACCAAAATAGTTGTTGGCGTTTTTTCTGTATATTCTTGCCCCAATATGTCCCCAATTGTTACTATTTAATATAAACCGCCTGCCTCTACCTTATTTTAAAGATTTTGGATGCCTATACCACCTATAGACACTATTCGGGGAATTTGCTCTTTGTTAGAGAAAAATCAAAATCAAAAAAATTCCTTGTCATTTAATTCATTTAAATTTAGTGCGGATAAATTCTGACGCAATCTGTGCCTTTTGCTGTTGTACAATAGCCAAAATAGTTGGTAAATGCTCCATTTCAAATTTGCAACTGCCAATTCGACAGTCTTTGTTTACGTTTTCATGAGCCACAGCTGTTCGGATTGCTGAATGTGCTTTGACGGTGTGTGGGAACACCATTTTCACTTTTTTTAAAAATCCCAAACGTTCCTCACAAATAATTACCATTTATTAATTAATAATTAATTGTGTATTTATTTTTATAATGACACAAGTGCAGTGCTGCAATTGTGTCAGTTCACAAATAAACTTAACACTTAACTTTTTAAGTAAAAAAGGCGCCATATTAAGTAAAAAATTATTTTATGAGGTAACTTGCAAAAACTATTGCTTGGACAATTTTAACAAAAACTTTTTTCGTTTTGAAAAACGGGCACCTTTTTCTGGCCGGAATGAAAAGTAAATGGTTTTTTATATGAAATCAGATCTTATTTACTAAAGGAAAAAAGAGTTTACTTAGTGGTCTATTGATGTTTATTCCACACCACCACAAGATCATTCTGGCAGGTAGTTATTTAAAAAAAAATGTATTTCTGATCCCTCCTCAGATTTGACAACAAAATTTTTGCCGTGTTCAACCAGTTTTCTCGTTTTGGCGATAGGTCGATAAGTTCACCGCAAAAAGTTATCGCCAAGGTTGCCATATGGTTGGTGGAACGAAACAGCCAGTTAAAAATACTTATAAAATATAAATGAATACATTAATAACTTTAAAGGACCGCCAAAATGGTTGTTTATAAATAATGCTATATAATTGTACTACTTAAATAGTCAAAATTAACCAAATAATTATTTAAGACCACCGGAATTAAAACTGTGAAAAGTGTGGCAGCATCTTAGGTGCCTAGATTTGCTTAACTCGACAATTTTTTGCCTTTTTCTGGCTTAGAAAAAGGGCAATTGTAAATATAATAGGCAGTACTTTACGTTGTTTGCTTATTACCAAAAACACAAGTTAGCTGCTTGAGCAGTGAGAAACGATGAGAAAACAAAACATTCCGATAGCAGAAATTTTCCGAAAACCGGAGCAGCTAAAACGAAAACGGTTCGTTTTCGCCCAAAACGAAATCGAAAAAATTTTACGATTACCGGAGCTGTATATGACACTTTTATCTACATAAAATATACTAGATACTATTGGATTTAGATACTATTAGATTTGGACCGATAACACAATACTGTTTTTATCAAGAAAATTATAATTTAAAGGTATATTAGCCAGTTCAATAGAGGTCGAAACTAAAAGTGGTCTCGAAATGAGAATTTTATTTTTTATTTCTTTCTGCGGGTTTGTGAACTGAAAAAATATAAGAAAATTTGGAAAAATAATATGTTTTCGGTGGCAAGGTTATTGCGCTGTAAAATTAATTTAAATACTTTTTTTTGTGTATTAATTAAACAATTTGAAGGCATTATTTTGCTTGGATTGTTTTGGTAACACAACTGCGGTCACATCAATCTTAAAAGGTAAAGCCTAGTACTCTGACTACGAAAATCCGCTGTAACATGTGTTATAGCAGAATCGCTGTATAGTTTGCTGGGTAACCAGTGTGACCAAAAAAATTAAGGAAAAGCCATGAAATTAAATGAATTATTGTTACAGCACGATATCAGCTGATTACTCTCTTGATCTGGCAACGCCATTCAACTTTCACAGGTATCATTTTCGTCGTCAGAGTACCGACAAAATCGACGAGACAAAAAGTTCTTCTTCCTTTTTTCACACCGTTGTTTTATATGGAGTTTTGCAGCTTTAACACGTGTAACAAATTCTGCAATTCGCAGCGTATATCTATGTATTGCGAAAACCCATACGTCATTTTTTTTGCTAGTAATGCATACAAAATTTACATTATATATATATGTCGGAACGGACGACTATATCATATAGCTGCCATACAAATGTTCGATAAATTTTTAGAAAACAAATTATAACTTGGCTGTTTTTCAATATTATTGCATAATTTTTGAGATATAGCCATTTTATATTATTCCAGAATTTTGGTAAAAATTTTATGAAAATCTGACCCCTATATCTTCTAGCTGCCATAGGAACGATCGGAAAATTAATCGAAAAAATTTTAACTTCGTTGTTTTTCAACGTATTTTCATCTACTTTGAGACACGAGCTTTTAGTATTATTTCAGAATTTTGGTAACAATATTATGAAAATCGGACAAATATCATATAGCTGCCATAGAAGCGATCCGTAGATGTAGAGAAAATGTAAAGCTGGGAATATATAACTGTAACTGTCGAACTGTAAACATAATAGGTATAGGTAAAATGTTATGAAACTCTGTTTGGTTTCTGTTTTCGGCATTATTATTTATAATATATATATGAGAACCAATCTGCAAGGATATACAAACTTCGGTGTGCCGAAGTTAGCTTCCTTTCTTGTTTTGTAATAACTTTACCACCAGAAACATATTATTTATCGAAATGTTTCATATTTTCAGTTCAGTTTCAACAATAAATGCAAGAAACCAGAAAATATAAATACTGAAAATATCGGCAACTGAAAAAAGGACTCCATACAAGCTGCTTATACGATAGTCTCAGTCATTTATAGCCTACTGCAGTTATCATTAATTAGCTACTTCATTAAAACCTTGATGAGTCCACTATATGTGTCATTTTGCTTGGATTATTTTGGTAATACGACTAGGGTCACACCGACCGTAAAAGGTAAAAAAAAAAACGGCCTCCATTCGCGGCGTATTACTATGAATTTCAGAATTCCTCTTCGAAGTATTCTTGCATAAATAAATGCAGAATCTTTTAAATTTATGTTTTTAACCTATAACGCTTAAAAATTTTTTTTAATTATTACCAAAAAAAAAATTTAATTAATTTTACAGCGCAAGAACCTTGCCACCGCAAAACATATTATTTTTGCTAATTTTCTAATATATTTTGAGTTCAAAAACCAGCGAAATGATATAAAAATAAACTTCTCATTGTGAGACCATACTGTCAATGAGCTGGCTAATACATTTTTTAATTACAATTTTCTTCATTAAACCCGTATTTTGTTATCGAGTATCTGGTATATTTCATGTAGATCTATCGATTATCGCGGCAATGAAGTAGCTAATGCATTATTATAATGCATTAGAGCGCCAGATAGTCGTCTTGCTCGCACTTGTGTAAAACGCTATAGCGCTGTCAAATCTTTAATGAAGTCTCTAATTAATGCGCCTGTGTCATATGGCTATTAGCAAAAGCTTTTTCCTGCTAAACTAAAGGTCGATTAGTTATATACTTTTCAATTACATTTATTACAATTACAATTTTTGTTCATTAGAGCAATATTTTGTTATCGGTCTAAATTGGTGTATATATTATATAGATTTATCGTTTTTCGCGGCTTATGCATTATAACTTGCGTTAGAAGAGCCATCTTGTCGTCTTTGTCATATATATGTAAACGCTATGAAGCTGTCAAACCATTATTGAATGCGGCAATGTTATAAAAGTATTTGAAATCCGTAAAACAATGTTGTGAATTTTAATTCATAAAGAATCGTAATCTTAATCATTTCATTATATATTCACAGCGCTTGTTTCGTTATCTCTGGCATTTGTATGTTATATCTTCCGTCCAATAATACACATGGAACATCACTTGGATATCTTCAAACGGCAATATTTAATATAAAAAATAAAAAATTGTAAAACCACAATGTTATTGCCACAGATTTGTCTTTTTTTAATATTATTAGTATTATATTGTAAAATAGGCTGATTGACAATATTTGTGTAAATTTACATGACAAATGCAAAATTATGAAGTGCCTATTTCAATCCAAATACATTATAAAATCGTGTATAAATAATCGAATGCATCTGTATTATTTTTAAACATGGTCACATTTACATCAATAACTGGTAAAAATCAACAAGTTTCAGTCTAAAATACGGAAAATAATTCTTTTTAAATTTAGTTTTCATCAAAATTAAAAGAGGTAAGCTGGAAATATAATCGATTCCAAAATCGAGTAGGGCTGGCGAAAATCTGGTCTAGCTAAACTCTTTACAAGGGCGCCGGCTAAGCAATGGGCACATAGCCAGGGCCAAACAGAGGGTCTCCTCGTCTATGCAGCCTCAGCCTGGGCGGAGGCTGCAAAAGTCAAGAGCTACGTGGTGCTAGAAGCTCAGGAAGCCCGCCTCCCATGTGATCCGGAAAACTCTTCGGCGAGGCGCGCGGCAGGAGCAGCGCCAGGAGCATCGTTCGGCGGCAGGACAGGTGGGACAGTTCTTCGTTTTATTGTTGTATATTGGCAAAGTTTAATGTTTTTAGATATAAGGAATATAAAAAAAATGTGATGTTGAGCCGGATTGAGGTCAGGGAGGGGCTGGTGGAGTACCAAAATAAATGAAAAACTTTCATTTTGTTTTGGTCCGATATATTTCTGGACAAATTGTTTTACACGACCGCTCTGTTCGAGTTGGAGTTTTGTACCACAACCAACAAAAAAGAGAAATCAAAGTGGGCAGACTACACTACGCCAAACTTCCTTACACATCTTCAACGGGGGGATTCGCCAACAAGGTGGAGGATATGGTAGCCACCCGAAAGCGACACCAAGCACGCTCCGGCAAGCAAGCGAACGCAACAGCATGGGCGAAGGTCTGTGAGATGTCCAGTCGAGTCACGATCGTGGCGCTTATTGACCGGTGCCATGCAAATGTTTGAAAGGATGGAGGATGGGGTCAAAACCCTGAACTGAAGCGGTCAGCCTGATGGAGGCGTTGTGAGGTGGTGGACATGGAATTAATCCCATCCATACCGAAGGCGAAATTACTTTTACCCCTTGCGATCCAAGGTGACCGGGCGCTGAAGCTGCTACAGCGCCAAAACCCAGTCTGCGTGCGAGCGCGATACCCAAAGAGAGGAGGGCCAGAGTGCAGTCCTCCAAATCAATAAAGAGGCGTAGGATTTCCTGTATCCCAGAGGCGTGGGTCATGGGTAGTGTCTACCTGAGCTTCACCCAGGGGACAAGATTGCGCACACCCTGCAGGCAGGCAGGAGATAAAGATGGACCTAGGTCTGGATACCATCAAAGACGCCGCCCAGGAGATGACGCTAGACGAATCGGAGGAGGAGGAGGACGGTGACAGTCATAGGAAAACACGTCGGGAGTACCTATGACACTAAGGGTGCTGCAGCTCAATCTCCATAAGACCAAACTCACGTCGGCGGAACTTTTAATTGCAATGGTCCGTCACTGTAGCCCCATATCCAGAACCAGGTAGAGGACCAAGCCGCCTTGGTCGAATAGGGACTTTTTGTTCCAATGCCATAACCATAACCTCATTCATAAACTCTTATCCAAATTAGACTGGTAAATCGCTACCTGCCAGGTGCCCATTCATTTCACTATTTTCTGGCTTAAGTCAGTGGCGGATCCACGGGGGGGAAATTAGTAAATATAGAAAGAAAGAAGAAAGAAATAAAGAGGGAAAAGGAAGAGAACACAAAACACAGTGACGCTGGCCACACTAAGGCCTATATAAAGCTGGCCCCGACGCTGAAGAAATCACTCAGACGCCGATTGTGATTGTAATCACCAGCAGCCAAGTCACTTTTTTAGAAACCAGGTAACAACAACAACTTCTCTGAGATGACTTGCGAGTCGAATAACAACAACTTCTCTGAGCTGACTTTCGAGTCCAACGATAGATTCTCTTCACGCTGACTGGCGAATCCGACACCAACAACTCTCCGTGCCGACTACCGGAGCCGACAACCACTCTTTTCTCTCTCATCCCCAGGCACGATCTGCAACCGTCGAGCTACCGCAAGAATCCAAACCTTGACGCGAGAAGACCCGCTGGAGAGAGGCCAAACCCTCCCGCGAGAAGCCAACACCCACCACCGAGCCGGGACACACAGAGCCGATCTCCATCTGCGACGCGAAAAGCCGATTGTCGTCTGACGCAGCCCATTCTTACCCAAATCTCCTAACTATAACATTTCGTTAATAAACCATCGGATCGCGGGAATCTATTACAGCAACCACACCTAAATCAAACAAATATTTCCTGAAACGGACCCTGGGCAGACAGACCGTCACAGGTGGCGCCCGAGCAGGTAGAAGTGGTTGTGAGTAAAATATCATATACCGAGGGATTAATGTCGAACTGGGTATACCTTGCATCAACGAGTGAACTAACGGAGTACGCAGAGGAGTTCGGGCTAGACGCCGCAGGAAGGAGCGAAGATCTGAGGAGGTTGCTAGCGGCTTTCGCCAAAAGAACGGACCACACAGAGCCAACAGGACTAAGACTCACAGAACTTACGGAAAAGTACAAGAAAGAGAAAAGTCCGACGAGAAGCCCAGCGCCAGCGATTTTTACAAGGGAAGAGGAGCAGAACACCGACGAACGCCCGACAACTAGTGCGGCAGCAAGAATTATAGCTGCTAAGGAGGAAGAGCAAAGAAACGAACACCGAGGGCCGGTAACAGCAAAGATGGAGGAGGTCAAAGAAAGGAATGTGGAGCGAAGAATTTATAATATATATATGAGAACCAATCTGCAAGGATATACAAACTTCGGTGTGCCGAAGTTAGCTTCCTTTCTTGTTTTGTAATAACTTTACCACCAGAAACATATTATTTATCGAAATGTTTCATATTTTCAGTTCAGTTTCAACAATAAATGCAAGAAACCAGAAAATATAAATACTGAAAATATCGGCAACTGAAAAAAGGACTCCATACAAGCTGCTTATACGATAGTCTCAGTCATTTATAGCCTACTGCAGTTATCATTAATTAGCTACTTCATTAAAACCTTGATGAGTCCACTATATGTGTCATTTTGCTTGGATTATTTTGGTAATACGACTAGGGTCACACCGACCGTAAAAGGTAAACAAAAAAAAACGGCCTCCATTCGCGGCGTATTACTATGAATTTCAGAATTCCTCTTCGAAGTATTCTTGCATAAATAAATGCAGAATCTTTTAAATTTATGTTTTTAACCTATAACGCTTAAAATTTTTTTTAATTATTACCAAAAAAAAAATTTAATTAATTTTACAGCGCAAGAACCTTGCCACCGCAAAACATATTATTTTTGCTAATTTTCTAATATATTTTGAGTTCAAAAACCAGCGAAATGATATAAAAATAAACTTCTCATTGTGAGACCATACTGTCAATGAGCTGGCTAATACATTTTTTAATTACAATTTTCTTCATTAAACCCGTATTTTGTTATCGAGTATCTGGTATATTTCATGTAGATCTATCGATTATCGCGGCAATGAAGTAGCTAATGCATTATTCTAATGCATTAGAGCGCCAGATAGTCGTCTTGCTCGCACTTGTGTAAAACGCTATAGCGCTGTCAAATCTTTAATGAAGTCTCTAATTAATGCGCCTGTGTCATATGGCTATTAGCAAAAGCTTTTTCCTGCTAAACTAAAGGTCGATTAGTTATATACTTTTCAATTACATTTATTACAATTACAATTTTTGTTCATTAGAGCAATATTTTGTTATCGGTCTAAATTGGTGTATATATTATATAGATTTATCGTTTTTCGCGGCTTATGCATTATAACTTGCGTTAGAAGAGCCATCTTGTCGTCTTTGTCATATATATATAAACGCTATGAAGCTGTCAAACCATTATTGAATGCGGCAATGTTATAAAAGTATTTGAAATCCGTAAAACAATGTTGTGAATTTTAATTCATAAAGAATCGTAATCTTAATCATTTCATTATATATTCACAGCGCTTGTTTCGTTATCTCTGGCATTTGTATGTTATATCTTCCGTCCAATAATACACATGGAACATCACTTGGATATCTTCAAACGGCAATATTTAATATAAAAAATAAAAAATTGTAAAACCACAATGTTATTGCCACAGATTTGTCTTTTTTTAATATTATTAGTATTATATTGTAAAATAGGCTGATTGACAATATTTGTGTAAATTTACATGACAAATGCAAAATTATGAAGTGCCTATTTCAATCCAAATACATTATAAAATCGTGTATAAATAATCGAATGCATCTGTATTATTTTTAAACATGGTCACATTTACATCAATAACTGGTAAAAATCAACAAGTTTCAGTCTAAAATACGGAAAATAATTCTTTTTAAATTTAGTTTTCATCAAAATTAAAAGAGGTAAGCTGGAAATATAATCGATTCCAAAATCGAGTAGGGCTGGCGAAAATCTGGTCTAGCTAAACTCTTTACAAGGGCGCCGGCTAAGCAATGGGCACATAGCCAGGGCCAAACAGAGGGTCTCCTCGTCTATGCAGCCTCAGCCTGGGCGGAGGCTGCAAAAGTCAAGAGCTACGTGGTGCTAGAAGCTCAGGAAGCCCGCCTCCCATGTGATCCGGAAAACTCTTCGGCGAGGCGCGCGGCAGGAGCAGCGCCAGGAGCATCGTTCGGCGGCAGGACAGGTGGGACAGTTCTTCGTTTTATTGTTGTATATTGGCAAAGTTTAATGTTTTTAGATATAAGGAATATAAAAAAAATGTGATGTTGAGCCGGATTGAGGTCAGGGAGGGGCTGGTGGAGTACCAAAATAAATGAAAAACTTTCATTTTGTTTTGGTCCGATATATTTCTGGACAAATTGTTTTACACGTCCGCTCTGTTCGAGTTGGAGTTTTGTACCACAACCAACAAAAAAGAGAAATCAAAGTGGGCAGACTACACTACGCCAAACTTCCTTACACATCTTCAACGGGGGGATTCGCCAACAAGGTGGAGGATATGGTAGCCACCCGAAAGCGACACCAAGCACGCTCCGGCAAGCAAGCGAACGCAACAGCATGGGCGAAGGTCTGTGAG